TTCTCTTGTTATGTCAACCAACATGGCGACCATGTCTTTTGTTATTGTGCATGTGACGTCATAGCCACCATGTTGGTTGACTTGAACAAAAGATTCGCTCTTGGGGTCTTTTGTTATGTCACCCAACATGGTGGCCACCTCTTTTGTCCTTTTATTCTCATGGGAAGAGATGCACGCCAGCAATAGACAAAGCATATTAATAATCAATTTTCATATTTACTTCTGAATTGTGCTTTCTGTTCGGTCTGTTTCTGGAGTATCCTCTGTGATAGCAGTACTTTTGGCTACCTGGATTGTTCGAACATCCTCCTGGAAAAGGGTCAACAAAAATCACCAGTAAAGAAATCAAGTCAGTAATACTCTTATATACAGAGTTTCATTGGACATGCAAATGACAGCCCTGGGTGAGTCTAGTAGTGGTTGATCAAATCAAGGGTGGTGGCAGTAGGGTGTTGGTAGGTTTCTAGACAGGTTATTGGTGGTCGAGGATGTCAGAAGATGTTGGTAAGGTGTCAGTAGGGTGTTTGTAGGGTGTTAGTAGGGTGTTAGCAAGGTGTAAGTAGTATATTGGTAGGGCGTCAGTAGGGCGTTGGTAAGGTGTCAGTAGGGCATTTGTCAGTTGTCAGTAGGCTGTTGGTAGTTTGTCAGTAGAGTGTTGGTAGGTTGTCAGTAAGGTGTTGTTACAGTGTCAGTAGGCTGTCAGTAGGATGTTGGTGGTATAATCTTCTGGTTGACCTTCTCCTGAATGCTCCCTAAAGGCGCTATAATATGAGACACAAAAACGTCCAACTTGTTGCGCAACATTGTTGGGGTGCAAGTTCGAAAACAATGTTGCTCGTTTTACATCCTATCTATCCAACTTGTCACGCAACAATATCTTTTGTTGCAAGTTGGGAAAACTTGTTGCGAAAAGTAGAACGTAGATCAACTTTCTGCAACAAATTTGTGATTAACTGCTTGTTTTTCATCACTCGTCCAACTTGTGACGCAACATTTTATGTGCAGAAGCGACCGCCATCTTGAATTATGTAGCTTGTAACAAATCAGCGTGCAAAATATCACCGTGATAGTCCCAACTTGCAACATTAGATTTCGTTGCGTGACAAGTTGGATAGATAGGATGTAAAACGAGCAACATTGTTTTCAAACTTGCACCGCAAGATTGTTGCAAGACAAGTTGGACGTTTTTGTGTCTCGTATTTCAGCCCCTTAAGGGAAAAAATCATTTAATCTATTGCACCTGAAACAGCTCATCTAGTTTCCGTGCAGTGCTGCTCCCGGTAGCTGGTCTGTTATCGTCCTTTTCCCTGCGACCAGCAGCAGTGGATACTCCAGGAGAATTATTTAATGCAGACTGGTTGTTATTTCTCTTAGTGCCAGTTGCTTTTGGTTTCTGTTTCGTGCTGCTCTTTTTCTTTGAAATTACTCCACTTGATTGAAGGAAAACCTAAAAAGAAAAGAAAAGAAAAACTATGAGAAATGGTAAATTATAATAATGTTCTGTTTCTACACATTTACAAGAGTCATAAGTTATTGAATGTAAGATTATGGATAAAACGTGTAGATTTTTTAAGAACATGATGTTTCAGCTATAACTAGTGACAGCCTTCATCAGAATGATGATGAAAATGTGTGAAGAGCATACATGTAAACAAAGCGTGGAAAGAGGCAATGTAATAGTGACATCTGTAATCTTACATTCTATATAATGTCTAAATGCGAAAGCCTCAAAGATACATGTACAGTCATAAGTTAGTTAACTGTAAGGTTAGTTAGCATGCTACCCTCATAGATAAAGGGTTATGATGATGTTGATGATGTTGAAGATGATGATGATGATGATGATGATGATG